TCATAACAGAAGTTTTACATCAAAGCACAAGAAGTGGTGCAATTGTCTCAAAGATAGAGCGAGAAAAACATAAACACCAAATCCAACAGAGCAAATCTATCAAACTCTCGATGTTATTCTCCCCCTTTTTGTCAACTAGTGTCAAAAAGGTGAAGAAATACATGAGGGGAAAACCGTGAATATGATTCACTCTGAGGCATCGCCGGAGGAACTATCTGACGAAGTTTCTGATTCGGAAGTGTGTGGAATATCTTCATCTTCAGTGGCGACAGCAACAGTTGATCCTTTGAGACCGACTTGTGTCTTGGAGAAGGAAGGGATATTGGGTCCAGCCTCATCACACTTGCAAGACAGAGGATTTTCTTCAGAAGGCTTGACAGTTGGTGAAGTGGCTTCTGATTCATGGAGCAATTTGCACAACTGTATACGAAGTAAACTCGTTGTAGGTTCACGAGCTGGCAAAGGTGGAGTGGAGCGATCATGAAAATATTCATCAGTAAACCCTTGGTCAATGTACTGATAGAGTTCTTGTAGGTGAGATTTGCTGAGTTGCTTCTTGGAGAAGAATTTCTGAAGCAATTTCCATAAGCGCTTCTTGTTTTCTGTTGTTATCATATGCACAACTTTTGTTCGGTTGTGAATTGCATTAAGTACGGTAGCCATATGTTCCTTCTCTTGGCGGTCTTCGGCCATATGCTTTAGTAGCAACTGCTAAGTGCGCATGCTCACTTCAAGATGTGAAAGAGGTTGAGTGTTCGGCAAACGATCACGCTTGGGCAGCTTTGGTCCATTGAAAGTGTTATGATAGTCAGAAGTGCTTGACGTTGGTGCTTTTCCTGAAGAAATATCTTCCATAACTTTCAACGTATCACGCACAAGAGGAATGAAGCTCTTGTGACTGGCTTTAGCAAGATATTTGGTCTTCATTGCATAGTCAACCACTTTCTGAATCCATGGGGCGAATTCTTTGATGGTTTTAGGACACTGAGCTGAATCCATTAGGATGCGCAAGAACATGTCTTCGACATCGAAGATATACCCCTAAGAGATGGCATGGATGGTATTCCGAAGAACATCATATATTACATTGTCAGTATTCATTCCAGCCAACGGACAGATGGTATATGTGAGGATGTGGTATAGAGTCTGATTGTTGAAGGTTAAATGTTCAGGTAGAGGAGAACCATGGTAATCACGAATCTTTTCTTTATCCATTGTGCATCGGAAATCTTCATCAGTGACTGCATCAATGTTGTGGACATGAATCTCACTTTTGCCAAGTTCAAAACAAGGAAAATGAAAATGAGAGACAAAATCCATAGCAGAGCATTTGATTCTTTTGCCTTCTATCATCCATTCCATTATCCACTCTGTGATATCTGTCTCATCGCCGGAGATATACAGAGTTGCATAAAACTGAAGAATTATATCCCTATTCCATGGATGCCGATAGCCTAAGACACGAGTGAGACCATAGTCTTCGATGTCTTGCAGGATTTGATTGAAGCATCCAACGCTTTTCATGGCTGCAAAGTCTGGGAACTCATGAGGGAAAATCTTCAGGCTATCATACAGAATACGAGAGTAGTATATCGCCTGTTCCTGAGTCCAAAATCGAGGAGAATCAGATGTCTTGGGCTTACTGTAAGGACTCTCTCGAAAGAAAAGTGGGTGAGTATTTCTGTTGAACAAAGGCCCTTTGATGCCGACGTCGGTGGTGAATAAGGGAAGTCTCTAACGAGGATAGGGGTATTTAGTTCTTTTTTGAGAGCCACAATTACTCTTGGTCTCTGAAGAACTTGACACCTAACCGTCTAGAGAGTTTGTAGCTCTCAAGAGTAATAGGCGGAGCGTACTAAACATAGATTCCAGTGATGCTGGACCACTATCTAATTCTTTGGCTCTAGGGTTTTTCTCTTGGTGGATTTTAAAATCAAATCGCTCAGAGATGGGTTGCTTAACAATATTCTCAGAAATCAAACAGAGTAGCCACCGGACAAAGCGGATGCGGGGTGGCTATTTATAGGCGTAACCTTCCCAGATGGGAAATGACCATTTTGGACACGAGGTCCAGCCAATGGCCAACAGACACATTCTCAACGGTCAGATTTTGGAGCAATGGTAACATTACTTGAGGAACAAGTAATGCTAACTCCTCGGTCTGAGGCAAATCTCTCGCAGCGAAGAAGATCATAGTCGCTTGCTGGCAAGTATTTGCTCGGAGCACAAAGAGATTTCTCTCATAGCTTTCATAGGTTTGGGTTTAACATCAAAGAATCAAAGCTTTGAAACACTATACCCCTCTTAATAGTATGGTGGTACTATGACTCTATGAAAGAAGAAGAACAATGAAATAAATACTACGTCTTCACCTCATCTTCATTCTTCCTCGAGCGCAGTCATTTGCTTCAAACAATCACCAAACCAATTGCTTAAACTTCAGCAATTTTTAGGGGTCACTCTTGTTAACTTTATCTTCGGTGATGACAGTCGCTGCTGCGCAGGGAGATTATCTTCGTCGTTTTCATCAAACTCCTCGATTACTCCAGGGATCTGTTACTCAGTGTGCACTAGCAAAGACATAAGTCCCAAACTGTTTATGTCAATAAACTCCAAAACATAAGGGGCCTAACATTGCACCAACATCATGGTTGAGCTGAATGATGTTTGCATTGCCCATCTCAAATTTCTTTTGCTTTGTTTTGAAGCTCTCTTGGGTCTCAAGAATAACTTTACGAAGAGTGAGGTTATTGTGACTGGTGCATCGGAGGCGGAGGCTTTGCGGGTCTCTCGGCTCTTAAATTGTTCGTTGGGCTCCTTTCCCTTTAAGTACTTGGGCCTTCCTATCTCTCCGGCCAGACTATGTGCTAAGGAATTCACTCCTATTGTGTCCGAGGTTGATAATAGACTTATGCCTTGGAGGGGCAGCTATACACAAATGCTGGCAAAGTGTGTCTCATCAATGCCTGCTTATCTTCCTTGCCGGTGTTTATTATGGGCTTCTATCTCCTTTCTGCTGGCACCCCACGGTGGGTTTGATAAGCATAGGGGGCCTTATATTGGAATGCCGCGGATAACAAACGTAAATACAAGATGGTCAAATGGAAGTCCATTTGTAGACCCAATAACCTTGGGGGGTTGGGAATTCTTAACACCTTGGTCATTAATAAGTGCATTATCATCAAATGGCGGTGGAAAATCATGACTAGTGGGATGGAATCCCTGTGGTTCTCTATCCTCAAAGCTAAGTATTTTTCTTACTCTAGCCCTATGTTTGTGGGAGCCCAGGGAGGATCCCAGTTTTGGAAGGACCTTGTTAAACTGCGCCCTATCTTTAAAGAGCACATCAAGTTTGTAGTGGGCAATGGTAAATCCGTTAGATTCTGGACGGATTGGTGGTGTGGTAACTCTACTATTGTTGTGGCTTTCCCTACGCTTTTCTCTTACTATTCGGACCCGAAGATCTCGATCTTTGAGCTCTCTGTTAATAATTGGGACTTTGCTTTCCGTCGTTCTCTTTCCCCAGAAGAATTTGATGATTGGCGGTGCCTTGTTTCCCTCATCCCCATGCTCTCGGAGAATGAGGACTCAGTGATTTGGCCCCATTTGGCCACTAGTCGCTTTTTGGTTAAGTCCTTATATGCTAGACTTATTTCTGGGGTTCCTACTGCTAAGTTCCACCCCATCTGGCGTGCCCGTATACCCCCAAAAATTAAGATCTTCTTGTGGCAAGCCTTAGGGGTCGACTTCCTGCTGCTGACCAGATTCATAAGCGTAATGGGCCTAGCACTGTGACTTGTGCGTTATGCGGCGCTGTGGAGGATACGAATCATATCTTTTCCAGTTGTGTTCTGGCCAGGATGGTGTGGTGTTGTATTCGTTCTTGGCTGGGTGTCACTTGGCACCCCACCTCCTTCTCGAAGCTCAGAACCTTGGCATCTGGCCTTTCTGGTATTACCAAACACATGTTCTGGATTGGTTTTGCCGCGATTTGCTGGTCATTATGGACGACTAGGAACAAGTTTACCATTGAGCATATCTTCCCTGCTAAGCCTGTTTATTGCTTATTTAAAACTTGTCTGTTTCTACAGTGGTGGAGATTATTGACTAAGGTTGATGATCATGGTGCGTTCGACCTCTAGTGCGGCAAAATTCGGGCTTCGGGCTATTTCGCAGCAGGTCCGAGCTAGCTAGTTGTCTTCGATCCTCCTTTTGCTCTAGGTAGTTGTCTAGGTGGTGCTTCATGTCGCTTATCCGGCCTGCGTGTCGTGGATGTTTGGCAGTGATGTTGTGTATCTCCGTACTTTGTCCTTGCGTGTGGTTGTGGCCATCTTTTTTCGTATGTGTGGTTTCGATGTACTCTGACTGGTGGCTTTATTTATAAAGCCAAGCGTATGCCTTTCCTCTAAAAAACATTACCACTGGGCCTAGCTAGTCAAAGTCGAGGGAAATTGTTGAATGGGGTAAAGCTTGACCCAATGCAACAATTTGGGGTTTTTAAATGGGGTAAACAGTTTACAAATGGGAGATATATAAAAAGTGGAATTCACTCTGAACTTATTATTATTACATGTATGCATCGTCCTCGATCCCCATGCGTGCACAACTATTTAATTTCTACGTACGTACCAACATTTGACCAGGCAATTGTATATAGCTAGCTTATAAGTACGCAACATGATGAAAGAACAGCCTAAGACACACGACACACAATTGGAATCTTATCTTACATACATATAGCTCCCAAATTAAATAGTCGTCCTCATGCATGCATCATAAGGGTCAATCTTCCATCCACCGTGATCTTCTTCTTCCTAAAATAATCCATGAATCCAGAGAGCTCATGAATCAACCAATCCATCACCGGCGCCGCGTGATTATCAAATCTCTGCCAACAATGTTTCATATGATCAAACTCTATTTTTATGGATCTGGCCGTGACTGAATTGACAGATGTGGGTGCATGCATGTGTGCTCGGTCGGCTGATTCTTAATTTTAGTTACCAGAGGTGGAGGCCGTGGCCGGCGTGGAGGCTGCTGCACGCCGGGTCTTGCAGGTTGGGCTGCGTCGGCTGCAGCCGGAACCCGGCGGCTTCGGCGGCGTGGAGCTGAAGCTGCGGGGACGTCAACTGCAGCGCGGTGCTCGACGACTCCTCGCCCGTGTAGTACGGCGTCGCCGGGAAGGCCGGCGTCAGCATCGACAGCACCGGCGGCATCACCGCCATCTTCCCGTCACCACCATGCTGGTTCTCGCTGATCTGTAGAACAAGCGCGCGCAGCACCCACAAATCATTATAAATTTACACGTGCATGCAGATGCTTCGCTTCAACAGAAATTTCCCATTGATTAAGGCAGGATTAATAGATTACCATGCGGCACAGAAAACTGTTCTGATCTTCCAAGATATGCTCCTGTTAATTGATCAATCAATTAGCAACGCTCACATAGCGATTAACCATTTCACAC